CAATTTTTATGAAGAATGCAGTCTAGATTGGAGAAATTCAACCTTCCAATACTAAATCACAAAGTTTAAGAAATGTTCGTAGCGGAAACGCCAGCCAGCTGATTTCATGGCACATTTCGTTCCACTGAACAGTAATTAGGAAGTGAACAGAAAGAAATAAGAAATAAATACAACTCTGGTTAGTGTTATGTGTATGACTGCGTTAGTGAACAACGTAACGTTGTGTAAACATGGCCCTTGTATACAAATTAAATCGATTTTTGCGAGTAAATTGGTAAAAAATGATTGAATATTGAAAATAAAGAAGAAAAATACGAATTTTAAATATATCTATTTTTAATGTAACTGATTGTTACATATAAAAAACAAATTCAATAAAACAACAATGCAGAGTATGGATCAAATTGGATATTCCATTTGCCTAATATTGGATTTATAAATATCGAACATGTTGACACATTTGGCCAGTTTTAGAACCTGCAAGAAAGTACAATTTTTTACTACGATAACATTTTTTCCTTTATGATATCGGAAAAATAGTAAAAATTAGTAGATTCTTGTAGTACGGGAACAAACCAATTGTGGGGCCGATCAGGACTTATTAGAGGTCTTTTAAGGTCTTCTGTTGAAAAAAAGTTCTATAAAGAATGTCTCCTCCGACCCTTCTATGGAAAGAAAATTCCTCCATATTTTCTATAGATAGAAGATCTGCTTTAGATTTTCTATGGATAGGTCTTCTGTAGAAAAAAGTTCTATAAAAAATGTCTCCTCCGACCCTTCTATGGAAAGAAGACCTCCTCCATATTTTCTATAGATAGAAGAGCTGCTTTAGATTTTCTATGGATAGGATAATTATTATTATTTGTTTTTGTTAATAGAATACCTCCCTCGGAAATTTTCTAGATTAAAGTTCTTCTATACACAGAAGATCAGCCTTCGGGTTATGGTCCCTTGCCAAAAGACAGTTTCTACAAATAAACAACCTTCGTCAGATATTCAATTCAATGGTTAGAAGACATTATTTTAGGTTTCCCTTCAGATCACATAAAGGTTTAATTCATTGATAGTCTCTTCTAGGCCTTGAATATAAAAAATGACTCCTCCAAGCCTTTTTAGATAGAAGACCTTCTTTAGATTTTGTATATATATGGATTGCTTAATTTATTCTATGGTTTGGTTAATTATATAGAATCATCTTTACATAGAAGACCTCCATTTGATATTTGCTAAATAAAAGCTCTCCAATAGACAGAAGACAACCACCATGTTTTCTTTAGATAAAATACCGCCTCTGTGTTTTCTAAAGTCAGAAGACAGTTTTTTCTAATGAAAAGATTATTTGAGTTTTCCCTCCAGACCAGAGGTCAGCAGAAATAATACTCATTTTAGGACTAAGATCCTGCAGATTTTCTGTAGAAAAATTCCTCCTGCAGGTATTAAATATATTGGCTCCTTTAAGCATTTTATAGAAAAAAGGCCGCCTCAAAATTGTCAATGGTTGAAAGATTTTCCTTGGTTTTGTAGGGTTCTAAGGCCCATATCTTTTGATCCACAACAGTTACAGCCACATATCGCACCATTTTGGAAAGGGCAAATTGGTCTTTGGTCTTGAGTCAGGTCAGGTTGGTCTTTGAGTCAGGATTGGAGAGGGACTATAATGGACCCATGTTCGACTTTTAGGAGGTCAAAAAAAAAAATTGGGGTCCAAAAACCAGTTTTTTGACTGTACCTCCAAAACGGTTTGAGAAAACCCCATCATATCACTCAATGGAAAGGTATTTTAATAACCATTAAAATGATACCTATATAACCGGGATCCCGTAACCAAACTTCCAGGTCAAATAACCGGGTAGTCCCCCAAGAAAAAAAAATATCCCCTTAATTAGGGTAAAAATTCCTACCTCTGGAAAAAAAATCAGAAAAATCTCATCGTTTTTACTAAACTAGAGTTAAGCCGAATTTTTTGCGAAAAATTTCGCACAAAATGTCATCACATTCTCCCACTGCCTGTAATCCAGAATACCTAATTTTTCCACAAAGCGGATTTTTTCGCTTTCGAACTTTATTCAAAATAAGGCGACAGCGAGAATGCGAAAAAAAATCACTGGTAAATGTTGTTCAGAATAAGTCGAAGGGGAAGAGCGAGTAGATTCACGTGGTATTGACATTCAGAATAAGGCTGCAAGTATTTAAAGGAAAATCGAAAGTCGATTTTGAGATTTCGTCAAAAATTAAAAGTCGACTTCGACTTTTAAATGAAAACACAATGTAAATAGTGAAAAACCGCGAAAAAGCCTTTCAATTTATAAACGTAAGAAGGGAATATATATTCAATACTTATTTCAATCAACTTAATAAAAATCTGGATACTATGAAGAGACTTTGAAGACCGCGAAAAAGAAAATCGGTTCAGATTTAAGATTTAAGGTAAATGGGGCACCAAAGTCCCTTCATATATTTCGATTTGCACGAAATTTGGCACTTTGGCAATTAGGTCCAGAATGATATGTGCTTAGTTTCGAGAAAATCGATTCAGATTTAATATAGCTCTCATATATAGTTTTGTCAGATTTTATGTAAAAGGTGCACCAAAGCCCCCTATTCTCGGTTTCATATTTTTTTTTATTCCGATCTACTCTTGAAGATATAGCCAATTGATTGAGTCAGCATCAAGTGACGGCAAGAGTGATTCTTAAACGCATTTCTCGAAGCAGCGTTTCGCGAATGGCGGGCACGATAACTCATAAACTAATAATCCAATCGGTTTGTTAGTACCCAATTATTAATAATAAAACATTTTTTATAATTTTGTTGTTGTTGTATAATTAATTTATTTATTGCCATAAACTTAATAATTTTGTGTGTTTTTATTTTTTTGGGAAGATTTTTTTTTGAAGCGGAAATAAAAATTTTGAAGTGACGGAGGATATTTTAGTCATAAGTAAAAAAAAAATAGATTGAAAACCAGTGAGCCGAGCAGTATAGTCGAACGGGGCCGACCATATGATACCCTACACAACTTCAACGAAAATTTGACTTCCTGTAGTTCTTTATTCTGAGCTTGAGCAATATTTCGCAATATTTGCAACCTCTTGACCGACTAGAGGTAAACAAATATTACAGATATTCAGTACAGCCCTTCTAAGTGCTTGTCCAGATTCCCTTCACCGTGGGTTGTGCTGTGCTATTCGGCCTGTGGCCTATAAATCGACTCGTAAAAACACAACAAAATAAGTTTTTGGTCCACTTCAGCCCAAAATTATTATCTGATCATCACCGAAAATTATAGGCGTTGTCCTTGACCATAACTGCAACCTCATGGAACATTTCAAAGCGATCACCGTGTGGTAATGGTTTACTAAATTATATTTGAATAACCTAAACACCTCTTAATACTTAAGTGTAACTCCCGCAGCCGAGTACATACGACAATATTGGTATTGGTATCAATTTAAAGGTCAACCACTCTATTCCGTATAGAACAAAAATTTTTAATTTTTCACACAAAAGTCAGGGTCCATTTGACACGCTAAATATTGACCGATCTTTATTTAAAACTGGCATGTTTATTCTTTGCCCTGATCCCATTCTCCGTGTAAAAATTCGCAATGTTGGGGTCAGAATTGCGGCCTCTGGAGCGACCAGAAAACCGACAAAAATAAAGTATTTGGTCCATTTCATCCCCTTAATATCAACTGATCTTTACCAAAAATCATAGGGATCTTCATTGGCCAGAAGAACAAATAATAATGGACAGACGGACGGCCACACATGTCTAGATCGATTCAGCTAGTCGAGATATGACGATCGGTATACTTAACGGTGGGTCTAGGACCAACACGTCGCGGCGTTACAAACTCTTGGGGCTGCACAGAGCTATAATACCCTGGCATACCCTAAAATCATTGTTGTTTTAGTATTCATGGGTCATTATTTGAATCCGCATCGTAATCTTCAGGCATCCACATCAATAAACATATTGCAAACAAATTAAAAATTTATAAACAATTTATAAAATTTGGAAAAGTTTCTCCAGTTCAACCATTAGAGACCAATCAGCCTTAATCAAATCATCACGGATGTAATCCTTGCAAGCATCGAGACCTTGGCCAACTTATCATCAGCTTCAAAATGACGGCCAAACATTTTTGGTGATCACCGGGTATGGGTTCAATTTTAACCCAAATATTTTTGATTCGATTGAGGTGACAATGCCAATATCGACAAACTCCTTGCTCGGCACACAAATCGGTGTACCAACTTTCACAATACCATTTTCGACCATTACACCCATGACAAAGGGGGTCACGACTGTTAAAGATGAACTGTGGCAGGGGAACACGGCAATTGATTTAAATTCTTCAAATAAAGCACGCAAAAAAATAATAATTTAATTTCATACAATCTCAAACTTCACTTTGGTTACCATATTTTTCAAAATAATTAACATTGCTGTTAAGTATTTTTTGGTGAGAGAACATCAAAAAGTGCATTTTCCCAAGGTAGATATACAAGGTAGCCGCATCGGCGAATTTCTACAACAAACATCGGTTGTTGTATTTTGATATGTCAAAAATATTTTGCCAAAACAAACAGATTGGCAAGATTTTTTACACAAATTCTTGTAGAAAATGTTTAAAAGTATTGCCAAAAAAGCTCTTCGAAATTCGGAGATTTTCATTCATAATTTTGTTTTTTAATTTTTTGGTTCAACATTACAACAACATTTTTGACATTTATTTGTCCAACAGCTGGGCCGATGCGGCTACCTTATTAAATATACCTTGCATTTTCCATTAAAATGTGTAGCCCTCTATAGCACAAATTTGACACTAATATTGGAAAATGCGTCTTGTCAAGTCTTTACGATTGTATGTCTTTGTTGTTGTGTCTTGGAGTTAGAAGTAGTTTGTTCTCCTCCGGGTCCATTTATCGGACACTTGCCCCAGATTTGTTTTAGCTGATCATCCATCCGTCCGTAACTACACAAACACAAAAAAATGTCTGTTCTACTTGGCAAATTATTGCCACTGCTCATTGTGGCCATGGTCTGTGGAGCTGCAGTCATTGAACAGGTGGACGACACCGATTTAATTCATATGCTTACCGGTGAAGATAACGTCATCGTTTTGTTTAGTGAGTATCAACAAGTGATGATGATGATGTGACCTTTCAACATTTACCGTTGTTGTTATTTTGTTGTTGTTGTTCTGTTCTTGTTGTATAGCAAAAAACAATTGCCCCAAATGCGATGAGCTGGAACAAACCTTGGAAAATGTTGAAAAAGAACTAAAGGAAAATGTTGGAGCCATAGTGGTGAAGGCTATGAATAGCCACATGGTCAACTTGTATGATCCGACAAAGGAGCCAGCTTTGATCTATTTTAGACGTGGCGTACCTCTACTCTATTACGGGGAAAATAATGCCGAAGATATTGTTCGAATGTTCAGTGAAAATCCTGAACCGGCCGTTAAAGAATTGGCTGATGATAATTTTGAACATTTGACTCAGGCTTCGACGGGTGCCACCACCGGGGATTGGCTTGTATTTTTGTAAGTTTTTTTTTGTTAAATATACACCTACGTGGTATTAGTATATCTGTGTGCATGTGTGTATGTTAAAGGGTGATGATGATTAACTATTTGTTAATGTTTATTTTTTCTTCTATTAGCTATTCTGCCGATTGTGTATTTTGCTTACGTTTACATGCTACATGGGAAGCTGTGGGAGCCCACCTAAAACATCGTCTTAATGTGGCTCGTATTAATCGTTTGGAAGCTGGTATTTCAACGGCAAAACGTTTTGGCATTGTCGAATCGCCAGAGTTTATATTGTAAGTAAAGAAGAAAACCAAAATTTATTTTCGATTTAAAAAATATTTGTTTATAGATCAGATTCAGAAGTGTAGATTTTTAAAGAAGATTTTTCGAAGCATTATCGGAGTCATAAGCGTTGATTTGTAGAGATTATTTTTGGAGGATTACTTTTTGAAGGATTATCAAAGACAGAGGCGTAGATTTTTAAAGAATATATTTCTTAAGGATTGTCATAGTCACAAGAGTAGATTTTTAAAGATTTTTTTTTGAAGGTTTATCAGAGTCAGATGTGTGGATTTTTAAAGAATATTTTTTAAAGATTGCCAGAATTAGAAGCGTAGATTTTTAAAGATTTTTTTTGAAGGTTTGCCAGAATTAGAATCGTGTTTTTTAAAGAATATTTTTCGAAGTATTATCCGACTCGGAAGCGTGGACTATCAGACTTAGAAATGTGGACTTTTTTTGAGGGATTATCAGAGTCAGAAGAGTGGATTTTTAAAGAATATTTTTTAAGGAATGTCAGAGTCAGAAACGTGGTTTTTTAAAGGTTATTTTTTGAAGGATTATCAGGGCCAGAAGCGTGGATTTTTTTTAAGGATTATCAGAGTCAGAATGTAGATTTTTAAAGAATATTTTTTTAAGAATTATCAGAGTCAGAAGCGTGGATTTTTAATGATTATTTTTTGAAGGATTATCAGAGCCAGAAGCGTGGATTTTTAATGATTATTTTTTGAAGGTCCTCAATTAGAAGACATTCTGTTCCTCTATGAGAAGACCTTCTAGTCTACAATAAGAAGACATTTTGGTATTCGACAAAATTAATTTTTTGACCTTTCGGTCTTCTTTATTAAGACGACATTTTAGTTTTCTATAAGAAAACCTTTTTGTCTTCCTTAAGAATGAGAACATCTTTTGTTTTTTTTATAAGAAGACCTTCTGGTTTTATATGAGAAGTCCCGCTGGTCTTCGATCAGAGTAACTTCTGATTTCCTATGAGAATATATTCTGGTTTATCTGCTGGTCTTCTATAAAAATACCTTTTGGTCTTCCATCAGAAGACCTTTATGTCCTCTATTAGAATACCTATTGATTTCTATGAGTAAATTTTCCATTGTAATAGGAGTATATATTTTTTATTCTTATAATAATATTTCCTTTTTTTCATTATTTTCAGACTACGCCAAGGCAAAGTATATCGTTATAAATCGAAACTGTATACTGCTCAGCAATTCATTGATTTCGCCACCAAGGACTTTGCCAAACAAACAAATCCTGAAGCAGTGCCACCCGAAGTTAATAACATGTGAGTATAAACTATTTAACAACAATATTAGAAAAAAAATAAATATTTTTTTCTCTCTCCCCTCCACAGGAATAATTTCATCACAGAACAATTAAAAACTATGGGTGACAATCAACAGATTGTATTTATTGTTGGCGGAGTTGTTGTGCTGGTTATTTTGGCTGCATTGCTCATCAAATGTAAGGCCTCAAAAAACCCAACACCAGCAACAGTTAAAAAGTCGAATAAAGCTAAAAAGGCAAAATAAACAAAACTGTTGCTGAAGACGAACAAACAAAAACAAATGATGAGTGGGTTGTCAAAACATGTACTTCCAAAAACCGTATGAATGAATGTGTGACACAAGAAAACAAAAATCATTCCATTTATAGACAATAGCTTTTAATGAAATCATTCCATGGCTTTTTTACATACATATGCATTTATGTATTATACGATATGTTGTCAATTAAAATAATGTTCTCATATATAAATAATTTGTATAAAAAGAGGTTGTATGATATTTAAAAACAATTTGTTTAATTAAAATATAAAGTTTTTGTATTTTTTGTAATATTTAATATCTTTTTCATTGTAATAAAATAGGATAAAAATTTAGTATTGATTTATATAAGGGATTTTCAATTGCGATAATTCAGTAGTTCAATATTGGAGGTATGTTTATTTAAACTCGTATATTCCAATTTATTTCCTTAGTTTATATTGGAAAATCTCTTCCAAAACTTTGATTCGTCTCACATTAAAATAATTATTAGTTTCCATAATATATGAATCCTTCCCATCATTATGGAAATATGTATAATCACATATTTTATCTTGCGAATCAAGTGGATAATTTTCTTTGTTACATTTTGGTGTTGAAGGTGAATTTCTGTTGAAGAGGTAATTTATGAAATACCTTCGATATTGGTTTAATTTTTTACTACTCACCGATTAACAGCAAAATCAACAAAATATCGCACAAATTCCTGACTCACGTTGGCATCTGTGGAATTTGCCGGATAGTCGGGAAAATATGCTGGCGATCGAAATAGGTATAATAATTCATCGGAATGAATGACACCATATTTTAAATTGCTTAAACCTCCTGAAAATATTGAGGCATAACTATAGGGTCCTTTGTAATTGAATATGTACAATTGTAGTGGATATTTCTGGGTATCGATGGTATTCGCAAATGTCAACGTATCGTGATAGAACGAATGCAGAAATACACGATCGGAAAATAACTGAAATGGGAGAAATAAGAAATTTAAATTTATTAAAAGGGAACATACGTGTCTTTTTGATATAGTTTTTGAAGGATTATCAGGGCCAGAGGCGTGGATTTTTAAAGAACATTTTTTGAAGCATTATCAGAGCCAAAGGCGTGGATTTTTAAAGAACATTTTTTGAAGCATTATCAGAGCCAAAGGCGTGGATTTTTAAAGAACATTTCTTAGAGAACCCTCACACCCATAGGCGTGGATTTTTAAAGAACATTTCTTAGAGAACCCTCACACCCATAGGCGTGGATTTTTAAAGAACATTTTTTGAAGCATTATCAGAGCCAAAGGCGTGGATTTTTAAAGAACATTTTTTGAAGGATTGTCTGTGTCAGAAGCGTGGATTTTTAAAGAATATTTTTTGGAGAATTATCAGAGCTAGAGGCGTGGATTTTTAAAGAATATTTTTTGGAGAATTATCAGAGCTAGAGGCGTGGATTTTTAAAGAATATTTTTTGGAGAATTATCAGAGCTAGAGGCGTGGATTTTTAAAGAATATTTTTTGGAGAATTATCAGAGCTAGAGGCGTGGATTTTTAAAGAATATTTTTTGGAGAATTATCAGAGCTAGAGGCGTGGATTTTTAAAGAATATTTTTTGGAGAATTATCAGAGCTAGAGGCGTGGATTTTTAAAGAATATTTTTTGGAGAATTATCAGAGCTAGAGGCGTGGATTTTTAAAGAATATTTTTTGGAGAATTATCAGAGCTAGAGGCGTGGATTTTTAAAGAATATTTTTTGGAGAATTATCAGAGCTAGAGGCGTGGATTTTTAAAGAATATTTTTTGGAGAATTATCAGAGCTAGAGGCGTGGATTTTTAAAGAATATTTTTTGGAGAATTATCAGAGCTAGAGGCGTGGATTTTTAAAGAATATTTTTTGGAGAATTATCAGAGCTAGAGGCGTGGATTTTTAAAGAATATTTTTTGGAGAATTATCAGAGCTAGAGGCGTGGATTTTTAAAGAATATTTTTTGGAGAATTATCAGAGCTAGAGGCGTGGATTTTTAAAGAATATTTTTTGGAGAATTATCAGAGCTAGAGGCGTGGATTTTTAAAGAATATTTTTTGGAAAATTATCAGAGCTAGAGGCGTGGATTTTTAAAGAATATTTTTTGGAGAATTATCAGAGCTAGAGGCGTGGATTTTTAAAGAATATTTTTTGGAGAATTATCAGAGCTAGAGGCGTGGATTTTTAAAGAATATTTTTTGGAGAATTATCAGAGCTAGAGGCGTGGATTTTTAAAGAATATTTTTTGGAGAATTATCAGAGCTAGATGCGTGGATTTTTAAAGAATATTTTTTGGAGAATTATCAGAGCTAGAGGCGTGGATTTTTAAAGAATATTTTTTGGAGAATTATCAGAGCTAGAGGCGTGGATTTTTAAAGAATATTTTTTGGAGAATTATCAGAGCTAGAGGCGTGGATTTTTAAAGAATATTTTTTGGAGAATTATCAGAGCTAGAGGCGTGGATTTTTAAAGAATATTTTTTGGAGAATTATCAGAGCTAGAGGCGTGGATTTTTAAAGAATATTTTTTGGAGAATTATCAGAGCTAGAGGCGTGGATTTTTAAAGAATATTTTTTGGAGAATTATCAGAGCTAGAGGCGTGGATTTTTAAAGAATATTTTTTGGAGAATTATCAGAGCTAGAGGCGTGGATTTTTAAAGAATATTTTTTGGAGAATTATCAGAGCTAGAGGCGTGGATTTTTAAAGAATATTTTTTGGAGAATTATCAGAGCTAGAGGCGTGGATTTTTAAAGAATATTTTTTGGAGAATTATCAGAGCTAGAGGCGTGGATTTTTAAAGAATATTTTTTGGAGAATTATCAGAGCTAGAGGCGTGGATTTTTAAAGAATATTTTTTGGAGAATTATCAGAGCTAGAGGCGTGGATTTTTAAAGAATATTTTTTGGAGAATTATCAGAGCTAGAGGCGTGGATTTTTAAAGAATATTTTTTGGAGAATTATCAGAGCTAGAGGCGTGGATTTTTAAAGAATATTTTTTGGAGAATTATCAGAGCTAGAGGCGTGGATTTTTAAAGAATATTTTTTGGAGAATTATCAGAGCTAGAGGCGTGGATTTTTAAATAATATTTTTTTGAGAAATATAAGAGCTAGAGGCGTGGATTTTTAAAGAATATTTTTTGGAGAATTATCAGAGCTAGAGGCGTGGATTTTTAAAGAATATTTTTTGGAGAATTATCAGAGCTAGAGGCGTGGATTTTTAAAGAATATTTTTTGGAGAATTATCAGAGCTAGAGGCGTGGATTTTTAAAGAATATTTTTTGGAGAATTATCAGAGCTAGAGGCGTGGATTTTTAAAGAATATTTTTTGGAGAATTATCAGAGCTAGAGGCGTGGATTTTTAAAGAATATTTTTTGGAGAATTATCAGAGCTAGAGGCGTGGATTTTTAAAGAATATTTTTTGGAGAATTATCAGAGCTAGAGGCGTGGATTTTTAAAGAATATTTTTTGGAGAATTATCAGAGCTAGAGGCGTGGATTTTTAAAGAATATTTTTTGGAGAATTATCAGAGCTAGAGGCGTGGATTTTTAAAGAATATTTTTTGGAGAATTATCAGAGCTAGAGGCGTGGATTTTTAAAGAATATTTTTTGGAGAATTATCAGAGCTAGAGGCGTGGATTTTTAAAGAATATTTTTTTAAGGATTATCTTTAAAGAATATTTTTTGAAGGATTATCAGAGTCAGAGGGGGGATCTTTAAAGAATGTGTTTTGAAGGATTATCAGATTCAGAAGCGTGGATTTTTAAAGAATATTTTTTGAAGGTTTATCAGAGCCAGAAGCGGGGATCTTTAACGAATATTTTTTGAAGGTTTATCAGAGTCAGAAGCGGGGATCTTTAACGAATATTTTTTGAAGGATTATCACAGTCAGGAGCGTTGATTTTTAATGAACATTTTTTGCGTATAATTTGAGTCGGAAGGTTCGATTAAAGAAAACATGTTTAGAGGTGTGATTTGATCTGAATCGTGAATATTTTATACATATTTTTTGAGGCATAAAATGAGTATGAATCTTGAATATTTCAAACCTATTTTTTAAGGTATAAAATGAGTATGAATCTTGAATATTTTAAATATATCTATTATACCTCAATAAATATGTTTTTTTAGAAGTAGGATATCTGGATTTTTTATTATTTTGTATTTTGAAGATTTATCAGAGCTAGAAGCTTTGAAACTTAAATATTTCAAACCTATTTTTTGAGGTATAAAATGAGTATAAATCTTGAATATTTCAAACATATTTATTGAGGTATAATAGAAGTAGGATATGTGGATTTTTTATTATTTTGGATTTTGAAGATTTATCAGAGCTAGAAGCTTTGATGAGAGAATGTCTTCTATGATAAGTTATTCTGCTCTTTTTGGGATATTAGTCTGATATTCTATGTGAAACCTTTCTTGCCTTTCTTTGAGATAACACTTTCATTTTCAATATCTGCAAGTCTTGTATGAGAAGTTCTTCTGATCTTCTTTGAGAAGGACTATTGGTCTGATTAATAAATAAAAATGCTTGTCTCCTGAGAAATGACCTTCTGATCTTCTATAAGATGACCTGCTGGTATTCCATTGACCTTCTAGACTTTAGTGAATCTTTTCATGAAAAGACCATCGGGTCTTCTTTGAGAAAAAATTTCGGTCTTCCATGAAAAAGCCCTATGGTCTTCTACGAGCAGATCTCATGGTATTCTATGAATTTTGATATTTTGTGAGAACACATTCTGGGTTTTAATTAGAAGAACTTCTGGGTTTTTTCTTATTTAATTTAATCAGTATATCATCTATTTCATACTTACATTCAGTGTCCCCTCCTTATTCAAAACGGCTTGACCTTGAAAATATTCCTCAATAATTTTATCCATGGCTGCATCAATTTGTTCACGCCCGAAACTCAAAGGAAATATAAGTAACCGTTCTAAGAGGTTTCTAAAATTTCGATTAAGCGACTTGCGTAAATTTTCGAAATTCCATATTGGAATAGAAAATACGGCACCTTCCTGTGGAACAAAACCGGCCATAAAGCGTGTTGGTTTATACTTAGCTTTATGCATAATTTCCAAAGGGTGTTCCGTGAGAAAAGCATCTGGAGATTTGAAATTTTCCACAACAATTGAAAATATGGTGTCACGATAAGTGTGCCAATATTTTAATTTATCAACAGCTTCCAATAGAGTACGGGCATCCAGGGAACGTAAAATGTCCAATATTTGTGTGGATTTTAGAGTATTTACATTGGAAATATTTAAATATTTCAGAATGTCCAAGGTAACCCGTAGTGGATCTTCCTGTAAGGTGGCTGCTATACTAGCTGTACCACTTTGTGCTATAATACTTTCAAATAATCCTTCGGAGTGAGGGCTAAGCATGTGCATGTGTGCGGCAATACCTCCTGCACTTTGTCAAAATAATGTTACACGTTTTGGATCACCGCCAAAGGCTTGAATATTTTCTTGTATCCATTTGAGAGCCAAGGTTTGATCTTTCAAACCAAAATTGCCGCTTATAACGGAATCATGTGTCGATAAAAATCCAAATATTCCTAGACGATGGGCTGGTATAACCAAAATCACTTCTTGGGTATCCATAAAATATTCCGGCCCATAGACATTGGGATTGGTGGTACCAGAATAAAAACCACCACCATGAAAATAAACCATAACAGGCAAAAGTTTGGATTTGCTGAGAGATGGCTGCAACAGAAATGTGGGTGTGTTATTTAAAATTATAGAGTCTTCCATGTAAGCATGCTACTTACCTTCGGCCGATAGATATTGAGATAAAGGCAATCCTCTTCTCCTGTCACATTCGAATTGGGCACTAAAACATTTTTCTGTATACAATCGGATTTTGGACTTGTGGCATTTAATATACCCTGCCATTTGGGATGGGGTTGGGGATGCTGTAATAAAAGATTTTGCTTTAATTGTATCCAATAAAAATTTTTAAATTACATACCGCAAATCGTAAATTTCCAATCGGTGGCCGGGCATATGGTATACCTAGAAATGCTTCAAAACTCGGAATTCTATAACCAGGCATTTGTGTGCCCAAAACACAGCCAGCATGTATGGAGCATACAGTTGGTTGGATTAGTTTTTCTGTGGCGTGTGTTGTGACCCAAAACAAATTTATCAGGAGTATACAAATTTTACAAGTCATTATTATGTTTTGAACCTCTTCGTACAATTATTTTCGAAATACTGAAACATGACTGAGATTTTCTTCGAAATAAATAACCACATTCACTGACTTAACTGATAAATGGATACGAACCTGTTTTATTTAGCTGGTAATTAAATAATTAACCTCATAAGATAAATAAATCCTAATTGCATTTTTTGAAATAATACAACAACAAATAATCAAACATTTATACACTTTTTTACAAAAAATTGTAATATTTTTTTAATGTATTTCAGAAGTAGTTTTTTATGTTACATGCATTGAAGAAATTCGAAGTGCGTTTAGACTATAAAATCCAATCGATTTCAAATATTTATCAACTCTATTTGAGATCGAGTGGATTTCGTAAATCTAAATGCACTTTAAGAGTGAATATAAAAAAAATCCAAGGAACAATATTTGACTTAAAAAATATTTTTATTGACCATGCATTTTTTTTAGAATATTTTCATTAAGGACTTCCTGACCTATAAGAGTGGCTATTTTAGGAATACTTTTCAAGGACTAAATATTTATTTAGTCCTGAACGATTGGAACAACTGGAACTAGCTGAACAAAATAATCGGGTCTAGTACCGATCGTTCCTTTTGCGAACAGTTCCTTTGAACTGTATCGTTTCGGAAAGATCAGCAGGTTGCATTACCAACTCTGTCCAACTGGGCATATGCGAATGGTCTTGGCGCAAACTGCACGAAGTGAGAAATGGTACTTTTCACTATAAAACGTAAGATCCTTAGCCCATTCTTTAGAAGCAAACTATCTTGGTGCAGTCCTTGACCATAAACTAACGTGGAAAATGAATGTTGAGGGACGCACTAAGAAAGGTCTAATAACCACTCTACTTCCGCAAGAACTCTATACGTAAGAGTTGGGCACTAAAACCAGAAATCATACACTCGCTGTATGCAACGGATGTACTCACCATTTTTACATATGGTTGCCTTGTAGGGTGGCAAGGGGTAAACATGAAGATACTGCCGGCTAAAATGAGTACCGACAGCGATCGGCGTCGATCCTGCCTACCAGAATCTTCAACCGCTCATAAAGACTTTAACGACATCAGAGTAGAGTTTCCTAGTAGGGAATCCTGGGCAAGTGGATTTTTACCTCTGACCGGTCTGTCGATTTTTACAGTCAGGTCGAAGATGGAGGAAGGTACTGGTGCAGGTGTTTACTGGAAGGAACTAGCCATTTACAACTCATATAAACATAACGATCATTGCAGCTTTTTCAGGAAGAAATACTGGCTATCACGAAAGCAGCTGATATAGTGAAAACATTTACTGCCGACAACATAGGACCGGTGACTATATATGTCGATAGTCAGGCGGCGCTTAAGCCACTCAGTATCCTTAGCTCGACTCCAGTTTGTGATTTTATAGAGAGGAGTATTCACATCAGTAACTGTATTCCCGCTCATAACGACATTAACGACATCAGAGCAGAGTTTCCTAGTAGGGAATCCTGGTCTGTCTATTTTTACAGACGGGTCGAAGATGGAGGTGCAGGCGTTTACTACAGGCGTTTACTACAATAAACTAGCCATTTACAACTCATATAAACTTAACGATCTTTGCAGCGTTTTTTCAGGAAGAAGTGGTGGCAATCACGAAAGCAGTTGAAATAGTCAAAATACTGCTGACAACATAGGACCCGTGACTACATATGTCGATAGCCAGGCAACCCTTAAGGCACACAAGTCTTGTACTATTCACTCAAAAGGGGTTCGTGATTGCAATGATGTTCTTCATGATATACGACGGATAGTTAAATGCTGTTGGGTTCCAGAACATAGCAACATAGAAGAGAATGATATATAGCTGATGAACTTGAACGAGGGGGTTCTACCGATCAAGTAGCCAATAGGAGGTTGCCACTGCTATAATAGGAGGCAAAAACCGCATGAACTACTGCGTGGTAGTCAGCAAAAGATGGTCAACCTCAGAACATGAATGCAGGATTTCAAAAACCATATGGCCAGAATTCTCTCGCCGTAGAACTTCTTCGCTATTGGCTCATAGTAAGAGGGAGATTAAAGTCGTTGTAGGAATCATAGCACGTCACTGCAGGATCGGATTTTTCACTTCCAAATGGGACATTAACGGAGTGGATTATTGCCGTCTATGTGAGGATGAGGAAGAGCTGCAAAACAATTGAATACATACTCTGTAGGTATACATAGCACAGACAGTTCGTCAAATATGGAATTGATAACCTATTACGAGGGCAGTTCGGAAAGTTCTTAGCCTAGCACAAAAAGCTCGGTATAAACAGAAAAAAGTGTTTTCAAAATGAAAAAATGTGTTCAAAAATGAAACACCTGTTTCTATTTTTTTACAATGGAAAATTTAGAAATGCTTGCTTTCATTGTAAAAAAATTGCAGATGCGTCTTTTTTGAACACCTGTTTCTATATGAAGGAGTTACCAGATCGAAGTAAAATTTAACATGTGTTCATAATAGAGAGAAGTTTCCAAAAAATTAACTTTTTTCTCTTTATACCGCGCTTTTTGTGCTAGGCCATGAACTTTCCGAACTGCTCTCCTTTTCTTCTCCGGAATAGACCCCAAGCAGTTCCTATGCTTTGTTAAGATTTTGACATGGGTAAAATAAGCAATTTTCCACACTATCTAAACTTTCACTATGATGTAATTTCATCGGAAGTTAACAGCTCGATATGGACTCCAGGAAATCTGTAGATCAACAGATGCACTAAAGTCCTAATCCAAAATCATCTTGCAATTTCGGAGTTTGAGAGGCCTTTTTCGAAGCAATGTCGTTCTATTCTGACACAACTAAGGTCTGGATAATTATTATCGAATGTACATTCCTTCATAATTGGAGCTGAGTTATAGAACTGCGGGGTATGAACAATCCAACCTTCAAGGCGGCGAGTCCGAGTTGGAAAATGAAAATGAAACCTATAAGAAGGATGAAAGAAGTGAACATGGATATTGCCAAGCCCTCGACTAAAGTAAGATAAGCAATAAACTGGGACACGATGTCGAAAACTGGAAAGGTTGAACCGACAAAAAAGAACGTACAGCATGCGGATGCTTAAAAAAGAATAATGTCTTCAGAAGAGCAGACATATGTCAAATCTGTGAAAAAGAGAAGAGTTTTTCGACATCTGGTACGAAAAGGGCTTATTATCAGTCAACTCAAAAGAAAATTGACATGATAATCCATCGAAGATATGGGATATGTTTTCATGGATTAGTGGAGCTTTTATTATTGATGTTTTGTGCGTATTTCTTCCAATCTACATACATGTTTACATAGTATATTTTCAAGGACAACCTTTTTAACTAAAAGCTTAGATTTTTTGGTATTGAACATTTTTTCAAGGCTGAAACTTTGAATCAAAAATACATATATAAGGACCAACAGATCTATATATTCAAGAATATTTTAAATAATAATTTTTTCATTAGATAAGAACATTCGCCGATAAAATCTATACGAAAGAAGAACCCACTTCATCATCGGGTATGGACTTTGTCCTTACCTTTTATCTATTCCGCTTACTAGCAATCATAAATTATAGATTTCCAAGAAAAAAAAAAGAAAACGAAAATCTAACATAATTACTTTTGGGTACTTAAGTAGCGCACTTCTAAATTTATTATTATCACAGCCCTCAAAACGAAAATAACTCGAACCACATATGTACATCCAATCAAAAGTACGCAATACAATCTACCACGATAACATCAAATAGAATTTTAGGCCTCCCAATAGCCCCTAACATGCGTATTCATAATTTGATTGTTTGTAATTATTTAATAACAATAATCGTCGAATCTTCGTTCCAAATGCCCACAATCGTAACTTTGCACTGCCTTTGTGTTTGGCCAAGACGTTTCTCTTCATTGTTTTCAAAATCATGGCATAATTTGTTGGCTTACTATATAGTAGATATTTATGGTAGGCATATAATTGATAAATCTAAAAAAATTAAACTTGAAATTTTGTCTATCCGATTTCTTGGAAACTATTTACAACCGCACTAATAAAAGCTCCGACATTTTCCGATATTGTGTGGAATTAATTTTGTTTGTTTGTCAAACAAACAAACAAAATTACCAGGGCACGTGTATTTAAATTAATCAATTTTTCCATTGGTAGTTATCGTGATTTGGTGTTAAATATCCGGACCGTTTAATTGACAGTTAACGTTTAATAAACAGAAGATATTGAAAACATCATACTACCATCACCTAAAAAATATTCTTAAAAAAAATTCACGCTTATGGACCACCTTGAAAAAAAAATTCTTTTAAAAATTCACGCTTTTGGAACACCTTGAAAAATTTTCTTTTAAAAATCCACGCTTATGGAACACCTTGAAAAAATATTCTGCAAAAACCACGCCTAGAGGTCTCTCAAATAATATTCTGTAAAAAGATCGGTGCATTTGGTAGACCCTTGAAAAAATATTTTTTAAAAAATCCACGCTGATGGAACACCTTGAAAAAATATTCTGCAAAAAACCACGAAAGAGGTCTCTCAAATAATATTCTGTAAAAAATCCGTGCCTTTGGTAGACCTGGAAAAATTTCTTTTAAAAATACACGCTTATGGACGACCTGGAAAAAATATTTTGTAAAAACCACGCCTAGAGGTCTCTCAAATAATATTCTGTAAAAAATCCGTGCCTTTGGTAGTCCTGGAAAAATTTCTTTTAAAAATCCACGCTTATGGACGACCTGGAAAAAATATTTTGTAAAAACCACGCCTAGAGGTCTCTCAAATAATATTCAGTAAAAAAATCGATGCCTTTGGTAGACCCTTGAAAAAATATTTTTAAAAAATCCACGCTTATGGAACACCTTGAAAAAATATTCTGCAAAAACCACGCCTAGAGGTCTCTCAAATAATATTCAGTAAAAAAATCGATGCCTTTGGTAGACCCTTGAAAAAATATTTTTAAAAAATCCACGCTTATGGAACACCTTGAAAAAATATTCTGCAAAAACCACGAATAGAGGTCTCTCAAATAATATTCTGTAAAAAATCCGTGCCTTTGGTAGACCCTTGAAAAAATATTCTTTAAAAAATCCACGCTTATGGACGACCTGGAAAAAAATATTCTTTAAAAAATCCACGCTTATGGACGACCTGGAAAAATATTCTTTAAAAAATCCACGCTTAGAGGTCCTCTGAAAGATCCTTTAAAAAATCCACGCTTAGAGGTCCTCCAAAAGATCCTTCTTTAAAAAATCCACGCTTAGACATGCTTAGAGGTTCTCCAAAAAATTATTCTTTAAAAAATCCACGCTTAGACATGCTTAGAGGTTCTCCAAAAAATTATTCTTTAAAAAATCCACGCTTAGACATGCTTAGAGGTTCTCCAAAAAATTATTCTTTAAAAAATCCACGCTTAGAGTTGCTTCAAAAAATTATTTTTTAAAAAATCCACGCTTAGACACGCTTAGAGGTCCTCCAAAATTTTTTTCTGTAAAAAATCCACTCTTAGACACGCTTAGAGGTCCTCCAGAAAATTATTCTTTAAAAAATCCACGCTTAGACACGCTTAGTGGTTCTGCAAAAAGTTATACTTTAAAAAATCCACTCTTAGAGTTGCTTCAAACAATTATTTTTTAAAAATTCCACGCTTAGAGGTCCTCCAAAAAATTATTTTTTAAAAAATCCACTCTTATAGGTCCTTCAAAAATGATTCGATTATATTTAAAAAAAAAAAATACATTTTGATCACTTAATTAATAACCCTATTATTTTTTCGTTAAGTATTAAAATAGAATAATAATTTATTTAAAATTATCTTTTTACAGGCCTATCTACCCCTCCCCTTTTTGAGTTGATCTGATTTCCGTTCGTAAAAAAAATTCAATGCAAATGAAATGCAGTACCAATTTGCAATTGGAGCTGAGCAGTTGATAATAATCGGTGTTCGCTTGAGTTTTTTTTAATATCTAGGTCAATTGTTAATTATGATCCGATTTTTTGCACAGCCTTCAATTTTTTTTGTGTATTGAAGTAATAAAAAAAAAAGAATTATTTTTGCATTCCACTTTCGATTTCGTTCGTTCATTCGTCCATTTATTGAGTTCAAAGCCAATTAATGCAAATATGGAAATACAAAAAAAGGAACGTTTAGCCAAGGGTCTCGTGAATTTGGAACGAAGCTGCTGTTGCTGTCTGTGGTATTGAAAAGATGCGCGTGTGACCTATATTTGTTGGTGGTGATTGATTGCAATTGGGATGAAGTGAGAATTATGTTAATGATGATGATCGGATGCAAGTAATAATTTTTTTTATTACTGCCGACCATGGGAAATAGGTTATGTGAGAATGGGGAAGGGGATGGATCTCAGATCTCTCCAAATGCAATCAATATTTTATAAATATGCTATTCAGGATCATAGAAATGTAGGCAGGGAAATAAAATTGATAATTATATATTAACGAGATTTAAATTATTTTAAATAAATGTTATTTTTCTACAACTAATTTGGAACCAAATTTGAAAAAAAACTAATATTGAATATAAAAAAAATCCAATATCCATTAAAAAACATCAAAATAATAACATGTGTTTGAAGGGAATATTTATTCAATCAAATTGTTTGCAATGGAAAGTGTTGAAGTTTTTGATCAAATATTGAGATAATTTTTTTTTTAATGTTTTTAAAAAACAAACACCTTGACGCTTTTTTAGTATCATTTCTCAATTTGCGATTAATTAATGTTTGATAAGTTTTGTCTGTGATGGCAAACAAAATTTGTTTTTTTTTTAAGTCAAACATCTGTTTGATAGATAATTAAACTTTATCAAAATTTGCAATTAATTAACGGTTAAGGTAGTTTTCCATTGTGATTAGATTGGCGATATAAAAAAGTAAAAAAATGCACTTTAATAGGTTATTCAAAAAAAAAAAAATTATTTAAAAAATCGAAGCTTTTTAGGTCCTGGGAAAATGTATTCATTAAAAAAATCGAAGCACACCATGCCTTGTATTGACCCTTGAAAAAATTTTCTTTAACAAATCCACGCCTTGTATTGACCCTTGAAAAAATTTTCTTTAACAAATCCACGCCTTGTATTGACCCTTGAAAAAATTTTCTTTAACAAATCCACGCCTTGTATTGACCCTTGAAAAAAATTTCTTTAACAAATCCAAGCCTTGAAAAAATTTTCTTTAACAAATCCACGCCTTGAAAAAATTTTCTTTAACAAATCCACGCCTTGTATTGATCCTTGAAAAAATTTTCTTTAACAAATCCACGCCTTGAAAAAATTTTCTTTAACAAATTGATCCTTGAAAAAATTTTCTTTAACAAATCCACGCCTTGAAAAAATTTTCTTTAACAAATCCACGCCTTGAAAAAATTTTCTTTAACAAATCCACGCCTTGAAAAAATTTTCTTTAACAAATCCACGCCTTGAAAAAATTTTCTTTAACAAATCCACGCCTTGAAAAAATTTTCTTTAACAAATCCACGCCTTGAAAAATTTTCTTTAACAAATCCACGCCTTGAAAAAATTTTCTTTAACAAATCCACGCCTTGAAAAAATTTTCTTTAACAAATCCACGCCTTGAAAAAATTTTCTTTAACAAATCCACGCCTTGAAAAAATTTTCTTTAACAAATCCACGCCTTGAAAAAATTTTGTTTAACAAATCCACGCCTTGAAAAAATTTTCTTTAACAAATCCACGCCTTGAAAAAATTTTCTTTAACAAATCCACGCCTTGAAAAAATTTTCTTTAACAAATCCACGCCTTGAAAAAATTTTCTTTAACAAATCCACGCCTTGAAAAAATTTTCTTTAACAAATCCACGCCTTGTATTGACCCTTGAAAATTTTTCTTTAACAAATCCACGCCTTGTATTGACCCTGAAAACATTTTCTTTAACAAATCCACGCCTTGTATTGACCCTTGAAAAATTTTTCTTTAAAAAATCCCACGCCTTGTATTGACCCTTGAAAAAATATTCTTTAAAAAATT